TAATTTAGGGACACAGCTCTTTCCTGTCTAAGCTAACCTAGGGTTGTTGCTATACTTCAAAGGCAAAAGCACCGCAGCCTCGGGTCAGCTGGGGACTCCCCTGCTGACCCCGGGCTCCGTGTGGTGGCGTTTCAGAGGCAGCGCTGCACAGAGCCTGGGGTCAGCTGGGGACTCCCCAGCTGATCCCAGGCTTGACGCGGTGCTGCTGTCTTGAAATACCATGAGGAGCCTTACGCCAGGCTCCCTGCAGCATTCAAAGTGGCAGCATCACATGGAGCAGCTGACCCTGGCTCTGTGCGGTGCTGTTGCTTTGAAGTACTCCTCTCCCCTCCCCCCTGCTTTGCTGCCTCTATTTGATAGAGGCAGCAAGGAGGGGAAGCGACTAGTCGACTATCCTGTTGACTATCCAATAAGCATTTGTATATCAGATAGTCAACTAGTCCTTCACATCCCCAGTCTAAACTAAGGATGTAAAATCCCGTTTAACTGGTTAAACGTGAAGTTGAACTGGTTAACCAATTAAGGGGGAGTGGCTGGAGAGACCTTCCCCCTTGTCACGGCCAGGCTGGAGCGGTCCCCCCCGCTGCAGGCTCTCTCATCCCTAGTCTAAACTGTAAGACCAAATTATTTAGCCATATTGGGGGACTATCATGCTGTAGCACAGAATGGTGGGGGTTTTTTCAGTATAAGCAGGCTCTTGAAGCTAATCTACAATCCAATAGCCAGGCCAAATAGCCAGATGCAGAACAGATTCAGAGAGAACAATCTCCTCGCATAATGAAGCTATCAAATGTGTCTTCAGAGGGTTCTAATGCATCTTTCTTCCCCAGGAAGGGTGAAGAATTGAAAGGTCTATCCGATGGAGGAGTCCTCTTTGCATTCTGCCATAGGGTGCTTTGTTCATCCTGTGCAGAACTCTTGCACAGAGGAACCTCACTGGTGCAACTGCGTGGGGAACCTCCACCAAAAAGGAGCAGCTAGTGTATAGATTAAGGGTGGGCAACAATTTTTTGCTGGGGGCCACTTCAGAAATTTATGACCTGGCCCGGGGCCACTCTGGAAGGAGTGGGGCCTCAAGTGGAAGGGGCGGGGCCAGGATACTTCCCTGCTTCCCCACCCACAGACCATGATTGGTCTGGGGTGGGGGAGCATGTGAAAAGTCTTTGCCCCTCCCCCCCCAGAGGTTCCCCCTAGGCGCCCATGCCCCTGACGGTGGGAGACTTTGCGTGCTCCCCCTTTTGCCCCCAGGCCAATCAGGGTTTGGGGGCGGGGGAGCAGCAGGGCCTCTGCGGCCTGGATCAACTCACTTGGCAGGCCGAATCCAGCCCATGGACGCTCTTTTGCCCACCCTGGTGGAATCAG